AAATATATAGATTGATATGTAATAAATATATGAATAAATATAATTTTTTAATATAATCATTAGTTAATAATAAGTTAACTGATAATGACTGGGGGAACTGACTTCTGATAGCTTTCTTTTACCTTATACCTCATGGTGTAATTCTATCTATAATTATCTAAGTTAGCCCATATTCCAGAGGAAAATAAGAAACTGATTTTTCTTTCTGGAATGATTTGCTGTTATAATCCCAGAAAAGTCCTGTTTTCACTACACCACATTACCAGCAATGTCTCCACCTTCTTAAAACAATTAAACCATATTTTATACAAGCAGGGGAATAAAGACTAACTGTAAAACTGACATTTCCTTGAAGTAGGCGTCCTTTTGTTCATTTTGACTGACAGAAACAAACAAGGGAAATAAAGGAGGTGAAAATGAGCGTTGCACCATGCAGGGTTTTTCCTTACCCCCCTCCTCCTCCTGACACCTCCTCCGTCTTGAACTTTGTAGCATTGGCACGTACACGCCCATTCAGTCAGTGTAACAGTAATTTAAGGCTGTGCAGACACTGTTAGAGTTCACTTCCTCAGAGGATATTAAGAAAGAAGACAAAGAAGAAGAAGCAGGCTGGTAAGTTGACAGCAAGAATTTTCTTTTCTTTTCTTTTCTTTTCTTTTCTTTTTTTCTTCTTTTCTTTTCTTTCTTTTCTCAGAATAAGTACTGCACATTAAGGCCAGGTCTGATTTAAACTGTGAGGCTGATCTGGACAAATCAAAAATGAGTCAGCCTTTTAACTCACCAATGAGCTGTGACTTGAATATGAGCAATGAGAAGATGCAAATCTCAGAAAAGTCATAATTGAGAGGAAAATGTACTTTTAATACCTTGTGTGATGCTCCTAATGTACTTTTGTTGAAAAAATAGTGGACAAAATAATAGAAACACCTGTAACACCTAACTGTAAAACATTTCAACAGCACCACAAACCACATCCTCCAAAACGATAAACCGGCTGAAGCAAGAATACAGATTGTCTATTGTATTGTATTAGACTTAGTTTTAGCTAGGTGTACCTAATAAACTGGCAAAAGAACATTGACACTGACGTCACATTTGTTCTTCCACAGGCGGATATGTTGACCTCAACCACAGTTGCTGTAACAGGGACCTCTGGTAGGAACTCCTCGGCCGGTAATGGCACAACCTTCCTTGACTCTGAGTTCCGTTACATCCTCTTCCCTGTCGTCTATGGCATCATCTTCATCCTGGGCCTCCTCGCCAACATCTACGTGCTGTTCGTGCTGCGCTGCCTCCGCCAAGCCAAGGCCATGGGCGAAATCCGCATCTACATGACAAACTTGACCATCGCCGATCTGTTTTTTGTCCTCGCCCTCCCCCCTTGGATTGGCTATTACAGTCGGCATGGCAATTGGATCTACACGGATTTCATGTGCCGGCTGACTGGCTCATTGTTCTTCATCAACACCTACTGCTCCATCCTCTTCCTCGGGGCCATCAGCGTCAATAGGTACTGGGCGGTCACCCAGCCTTTGGATGCAGCTTCCTCAGACCACAGACGTCGTGGGATTTTCATAAGCGTTATCATCTGGACGTTGACTGTAGCGATGGCTATTCCATCTCTGGCATCTCCAGGGACCAACACCGACGAGAACAATGTCACTCGCTGTTTCGAGGGGTACCAGAATGAATCCGATACGCAGAAGAGAACAGTAGCTGCCAATCATTTTGCAATCATCGGGATGTTTTTTGTCGTCTTCTTTCTGGTCGTGGTGTGTAATCTCCTCATTGCTCGAGCACTACTCTCTCAAAGTGCTCCTCAGTCAGAGTTAAAGTCTGCAACGATCATATCCAGAAAGTCCACCAGGACCGTGTCCACCTCAACCAAAAAGCCAAGGGGGGTGAAACGCAGAGCTCTGCGGATGCTGTTAGCAGTAGTGGGCGTGTTTGTGCTGTGCTTTCTGCCCCACCATGTAATTCAAGGCCTCTGGACACTGGCGGTGTTGCAGATCAGAGAGGGCTGGGGCCACGTCGGGTGGAGCCAGAAGACTCTTCAGGCGCTCAATGACGCACATCAGATCACTCTGCTTCTCATGGGCCTCAACTGCATTTTGGATCCTGTAGTTTATTATTTTGCCACGAGGAAGTTTCGAGGGTTCATCATGGCCCACATTAAAAAGATGGCAAAGGGCGATGGGTGCTCGCAGACAGTCACCTCGCAGCTCTCCATGGACAGCAGGAATCAGAGCCATAGACTCCAGAGCGAGCACCCGCAACCCGAAGAGGACTGATTTGAACATAGATGCGTGTGTAGAAGACTTTCATGTTGCCACTGATTCAAGATAACATACAGTATTAAGTTGCACCTAAATAACTAAAGCTTTAGTGTATATGTGGTATGCGCGGCTGAACACCCTCACAGTTTGACGTGGTTTCACAAACATTATCTTGACCTTTTATCACATCCTACTGTCGAAGCTGCAGTCTGAATTGCAGCTCTCCCTCTGCTCTTCCTGTGTGAAGTACAAGCTGAAAGCAGAAGTTTTGCAAGCAGAAGTACATAAACAAATCAATTACGGCTCTGAAATTTTCCGCAGGAGGACACTTTCTGACTTTACTCTATGAAATGAACTCAGATGAGATGAGACACTGGACACATTATTCAAATCCTCCCACAGGTGTTGTTCTGCACGAAGTGTGGCACTAGAAGTAAAGGATGATACATGTACATACAGAGCCCAGTCGTGTTGTTTGCGGTGTTTAAAGTGGAGCTTCTCACTAGATTGTACACACCCTCCAACTCAGTGGGTGTACTTGCTTTGCCAGACGTTATATTAGTAAAATATGTGATGAGATTGTCTCACATCAGATAACTTTCAGGTTTTTTAGCTTTGCCTGGACACGTTTTATCCAGTATTGTGAAACCGGGGAACAGAAGTAATAAAGAGCTACGTTTCCCCTCAGGCATCCAATATTGTGACACTGCCTATATGTCACATGGTAAAACTCCCATGACTCACTGTGACAAAGGAACACACTTATTATTATTCACCTATTTATGAGGCCTATATGTAATATATTGTATTTTTTTATATACTATCAGATTGAAGATGTATTTTTCATTCAGTGGAGCAGCTTTGGTTGTATTTTATTTTACTCAGAAGTCTGTGTAATGTTATTTTGATTTTCAAAATGAAAAATATGCTGTTTTTTATTCCATATAAACAACTGTTGTAATTAGAATTTGATTTATGTCTTTCATGTGCAGTATTGTGATGATTAAAGTACATTTAAAAAAAAGTGTTTGACATATCTATCAATCTGTGTACACACACAAGCGCACACACACACACACACACACACACACACACACACACACACACAAAACAGAACATGTGGTTTAAAGCAAAGACTTACAGCAATTTATTGGTTTTATTAAAATGTACAAACACAGAGAAGGAAGTGCCTCTTGCTGTTTGGTGGGAAGCTTTTTACCTAGGTAGAACTACAGGGGCCATATTCACAAAGCTTCCTCGTACAAAGAGTTGCTCCTGGTGACAAACTTCTAAGAAATTGATGATGTTTTATCAGTGAACCTTGTTAGTTGTAACAGAGCCAAATTATGTACCGTTACCTTTGCTAAATGTTGCTGTTGTCCCTGCTTTTATATGAGTAGAGGAAAAGTCCTCTAGCCACTAGGTTAATTTTTACAATGTAAAATGCCATAGGCTTGTGCTAAAAACATTAGCATGTTGTATTTGTGGGGAAAATGTGTCCAGATAAGGACAAGTGTTTGCTTGTGAATGCTGCGAGTTATAGTGAAGCTGATTTGTGTACTTGTATTTGAAATTGTCTCTTTTAAGCCATTTTTAGTGTGTGTTTAATGTGTGTTTTGAATCAACTAAACTTTACAGCACTTCACAGAAACCCTGCCGCTGACTTGTGATTTGGAAGTGTAACTGCAAACTGACACAGACACACCACTACACAAGTATAAATGCTCACAACAGCGTAGGGGATGTGCGTAGGCTACAGTGTAGGGTCTGCAGCAAGACTCCTTACTAAAAAGATTTTAGGCTAAGTTAGGAGCTCTCTGATAGTATTCTCCAAATGTTTGTGAATACGGCCTCAGATCTTCATGCTATCCACATTCAGATTGTGTTCAACATATTGTATATATTATATTATATGGCAAACCTCATCTATCAGGTTAAAGGCTGAGATGCTATAGATACAGAGACAGATATTCTGCGGCCTAATAACATGCTTTGTCATTTTATTGCACAACTCCACCCTCCCATCATGACAGACTTGAGTACACATTGTCCACAGTGGCATTGCTGGGGTCCAGATCAGTGTAGTCTTGGCTGGTGTTCGTGTAATTCATGTACACATCTCCGTCCATTTCAGTCTGTTGCACACCTCCCCTAGTGTGCAGAAAAATGTGAGCAGACTGTTAACATACACAGCTCATGGCATGTTAACAAAATACACACACCAATATGAATATAAATATGTATGTTTTCAAGCAGGGACTTACTTTGATGACTTTTCAGGTCCAGGAAAACCTTTAGGAGAACAAAGAAATTAAAATAATCCACAGAACATTTTATTAGAATTTGACCTCAACAGGAATTGCTCTTCTTTACCTTTAGCCGCAGTATTGGAGGAAGTCTGTGTGCGACCAAATCTTTGCCAGCCCAGCCAAAAGAGAATAGCAAAGTTGATGATCAAGGCCAGGAGAGAAAAGAAAAAGGCAGCTACTCCTAAATTCTCAGCAGCTGTTGTGAGTCGGGGAAACAGAACAGAATGGCAGGAGAAAGGCTTTAGTTTTCGTTGAAAAGACAAAAAGTGCATTCTATTTTTGTGCATAACAAACACAAACACTGTCTTTGTTTACTGTTCAAATATCAGACAATATTAGCATACTTAAGATATATACATGTGCATATGTTGGCATAAAAAATAATGCAAATGATACCTATGTTTGAGGCAATTTAGAGGGCGTGCTGTTGTATTATTTGTCCACTAACCCTTTCCAACTAGTCCAGACACAGGGTCCAGATTCCTCTTTTCAGTTTAGTTTAAAGTCCCACAGTTAAATATAGCGTCAGCGTCATACTTGCGTTTGGCCATGTATCAAACTAGTTTGCTGTCTCTGTCGAGTAGCTGTCATATAGTCACTCGCTCTACAGCAGAAAACAGCTCTTCAAAATAAAAGCTCTGTGCTGGAAATTTACTGTATTTAGAAATAAAATGTGTTTTTTTTACAAACTTGACACATTTGTGAGTCACTTGTGGTCCATTCAGAATGAGCCTGTAACCCACTGCACTAGAGGTCACTGACAAATTTCCACCCAGTACATATGACAGTTCTTTACCAATAAAATTTAACGCTGCGATAACTGTTAATCTGACCACTTGGGAGCAATGGGAACACGCTGTAAAGCACTGATATATTATCACCTTTTAAAGGAATATTACACCCACAAATTGATCATTTGTATATCAATTACTCATCCCATGTTACACTGAATTCATGAGGAAAACTTTGTTTTTCTTGCGTGCCTCCACGGTGAACGAAGAATCCAAAAAAGGCTAAAATTCTTGATGAATTGAAATAAAGGGGGCCATATTTAATACCAGCAAAACTGAGTATATGATGGGATAAATAAGAGTTGGATTTTACTGGACAAGTTGTGTGAGTTTGTAAATAGACGTTTTTGGTATAGTTTTGCTGTCGTTAAACATGCCCCCCCACCCAGTCCTGTGGCTGTCTGTTCTCTGTGTGTGGGAGAGCACTGAAAAAAAACCCTAACACTGTAAATGGGAAATACACAAAAAGGCTCAGACCGAACCACACAACACTATTGCGGGTACTTTCACATCCTCTTCCACAAGGGAGCTACAGTGTGATAGTAATGAAACATAAATACCATTAGAGATATTACTGGAGCTTCTGAGGGAGCACTGACAGGACAAATAAGAACAGAACAATAAGCTGAAAGACGCATTAAAGATTCTCAGAGCTGAGGGAAACTGCAGAGTCAAAACAGAGCACCAACCTGTTGCTTGCATGGAGATGATATAGACTTGGTGGTCAGGGCTCGTCACATTCTTCTGAGTTAACTGGCTCTTGGCACAGCAGTGGTAAAGCCCACTCTGCTCTGGCTTGGTAAGAGTCAGATCCCTACTGTAGCCCACTTCTTGCCAGGTCTTATTTTGCAGGTGTTTCCAGGTCCACATGACGGTGTCTGGCATGGCGTAAGCGCTGCAGTACAGGTCGACTCTTTGACCTGCTGCAACTGGGTAGTCTGGTGTGGCCACAACTTGCAGAGGAGAAAGCTTTTCTGGGGAGGAACATGGATGGGGTGGTGGATGAGGAGGACACAGAATGAAGGATGATGGATAGAGGAGGGAGAGAGAGATACATTTTCAGCCTCATGAGTGACATAGTTCTAGAAATAGCAATGTCTGTTTGCTGGTTGGTCTGTTCACTACAGTGGTCCAGACTGAAATATCTCAGCAACTATAGGATCTAATGTCATTAAAACTTGTGATGACTTTGGTGACCCGCTGACTTTTATCTTGTGGCATCATCGGGTAAAAGTTAAAAATACCCAGTGCTTCAGTTAATGACCAAATACTTGCAAAATTAACATTTATAATGACATTCCTATCAGACTCATAATCTGTATTTTGTATTTCATGCTAATGAGCAAATGTTAGCATGCTAACATGCTAAACCAAGATGGTGACCAAGGTAAACATCACAGAGCTGAGAAGTTGGAGGAGCTATTTTGGGCATCCTTGATTTTAGAAGTAAAAGTCTCATTCATTTTTCCCATAGAGAATGTTACATGATTCACAGTTGGATCAGCTTGAAGCTCTCCTGGTGACATTATCAGTACAACATATTAAGAGCTCTGTTGATAAAAAGTTGTATGTACAAGCCTGTGAATATAAAAACCAAGACATTAACTAAAACTCCCGAATAGCTTTAAATTCTACAGTGTTAATTAAAGGATTGTGTCGTTTACCGTTTTAGTTCCTTTTGGAGCCACACCATAACATTATGCAACATGACATCTCACAGAGAATGTTGGCTAAAATCAATATTACTATACAATTGATTCAGTGTGTTTGCGGCCCAATCTAAAGAGTGCAGTAACCGCAATACACTCCTTTGTCATCTGGGGAGAAAGTACCAGACTCCCTGAAGAAATCATTGAGTTTTGTGAGTTGTGGAGTCAAGAGCAATGTTCTGAAATGCTGTCTACAACAATTTCTTAATTATTCGTGCCCTCTTGTTAATTCAGCAAAGGCATTCATCCATAACCACTTATCCTGTAAGGGGTTGCAGGGGGGCTGGAGCCTATCCCAGATTGGGCAAGAGGCAGGGTACACCCTGGACAGGTCACCAGACTATCACAGGGCTGACACATAGAGACAGACAACCATTCACACTCACATTCATACCTACGGCCGATTTAGAGTCTTCCGCATGTCTTTGGATGGTGAGAGGAAGCCGGAGTATCTGAAGAAAACCCACGCTGACATGGGGAGAACATGCAAACTCCACAGGAACCCTCTTGCTGTGAGGCGACAATGCTAACCACTGCACCGTATTTGAATCAACAGAGACGTCAGCTAATACGACACAAGTATTTCCACGTATTTTCCTGTACCCCTCTCTGACTGGTCTCGACTTGCCTCAGTTCCAGTCATTAAAGATACAAAATTACAACGCTGCCGTCTTCTTCAGTGACAATTAACTGCTTAAATTTGTGAGTTATTCGAGGCTAAAGGCGCCTATGTTTGGTATTGGTAGGTCAAGCGTAGCATTTGGTGGGACATTGCCTCTTTGAGCCCATGCTTAGGAACGGTCTTGAAGGCTGTTACACTACACCAAAATTACAAACGAAATATGATTTCTCCAAAATCACACAGCGTAAACCTATATCACTGTCCTGTGCTTCTGCGTTCAGTACTACTGGGGATATCTTTTGAGAAAAAACTGAAATGGGGAAAAGCATTTCTAGAACCAGTGACCTCTTCTACCTGTTAAACATTAGCATATTAGCACTGGCATTGTGATGTAGCATTAGCTCCAGTTACTGCAATGTAGCCTACATCCTCACAGAGCTGCCAGTGTTTGCTGTAGACTCTTAGTCTCATTTTTAAATGTTTAATTTAATTGAAATGACTAAAGAATCACATCCTGTATTACCTTCCACAGTCACTGCATTTGTAGTTGTAGAAATTTCCGTGGTAAATGAACGGGTTTGTGGCCATGTTGTTGATGTTAGGGATTTCACTGTAAAGACAACAAGGAGCACAAATAAATGTTGACAGTATATTTGAAAGCACATCCTGGATTCTGTTATTACATTCACCAATAAAAAATGGTCTTACCTGTGCTCTCACACAAAATGAACAGGAGGAAAAAGCTGAGCAGCATGTTGTTTTGAGATGAACAAAAAGCAAATGCCACTCTCACTTCAGGTAAACAGGTACAAGAGTGAATCAAATGTATTAATCAAAGCACAGGTGAGAATGGAGGAAGTATCAGATTGGGAAACTAAAAGAAAAGGAAGTTTCAAGTTCCTTTTTCCTGTTACAGTTCTGCAGAATTAATAAATAACATATTCAGTTTGATATACTCGGCAAGCAGCAGAGTGCAATGTGTCCGTCTCTTGTACCTTGTTATTGGAAATCTTGGTATGGCATTTAAAACAACAGACAGAAAAAAGTCAAAACAGGAAAAAGGAAAAACTGTGAATACATAAAAACACAGAGCCCTAGCTGAGCAAAACCAAAGAATAAGAGCAACGCAAATGAGCACTGAGCGAATCATAATTAAAGCTATAATCTCACCCATGAGAGCCTTCAGTTTGTAACATTTAAAATCTGTCAATCAATGTATGACCCGCAGGAAAAACAGTTAACCAGACTCCACAGAACTTTTAATGGTTTTTTAAATTTCAGAGCTGGCGGGCAAGTCTATCAGACTCTCAACACACTTGGTTTTAAACGTTTCATATCTGCAACAGTGGTCACCTTCAGGCTCAGGCTGCGATGACAGCTCAGATTGTCGGACAGTTTGACACCAGACCTCTCACCTGAGGCGAACGCTCAGTGGCTGCCAGAGCGGGTCAGGAAAAGCGAGTGGATTTTAGATGGTTCTGCAAAATGCACAGAAATTAAAGCACAATATATCGGACTGTTTTAAGCTCCTACTTCATGATTTAGTTCTATTAAATTATATTATTGTTAGATGTTCCTGTTACGCTCATAATAACATATGGCTACTCACATTTATTGTGTGGACAGCACTACAATAAATTTTGTCCCCAGATGTGAGGTGGGTCACAATGTCACTATGGCAACAGCTTTACTTTGTCCCTTATAGTTGTGTCCTTCAAATGCAGGAAGTGGTTTCTCTTGCTTCATAAAACTGTTGCTTAAACAAACCAACAGATGTTGTTTGTCACTGCAGAACAAACCCATGTAGGGAGACAGGGAACAGCTTCAAAACACAAAGTGAGTTTGAGCTGAGAGGTAAATATAAAACTTTTACAGAAGTAGATGCAGTAATACCACATAAGTAAAAGATGCAACTGAAAGCCAAAGTGACGCAAGTACGGAAGTTATATGAGCAAAACATGTCAAACCTGAAGTAAAATCAAGTGGGCATTCTTGAGCAAACTTTCTCTGAATTTTACCAGAATATTTCAGTAGATGTCACACTTAGTAACACTTCAAGATGTCTTAATGATGAGCAACAGGAATTCATGAAACATCCTGCATCAATGCATTACTTCAGCATGTCTTTGTACCCTTATCATGAATCATACATTTATGATTTATGACAATGGTTACAGTATATAGTTATAGTATGGTAAGTATTATAGACTGGTGGCTCTCAAATGGCACACTGGTGTGCCAGGGGAGTCTGAGTCTGTGATAACCACACATTATTACTGCAATATTCAACTGGGCCTACACAAAAAGCTATGTATGAATTTTTAATGGACTGTATCGGTATTAAAACTCTAGCTAAAAATAAAATAAAATAGAATAAAATAAAATAAAATTAAATTAAATTAAAAAAAAATCTTCACTATTTGTTGCCGTCCACCTATGGGAATGATAAGTCTGTGACAAGACTTGGTAGACAGAATCAAACCAAAAGTCGATGACGATGAGCAGGATGACAGCACGTGTTCGTGCAGCGGCTCTCCGCTCTCCAGTTTGGTGCCTTCTTGTGTGTTTGCTTGTTGAGTTCTGTCAAGCAACGTGTGTCTGTAGTCGTCAAGTCTTAATCAAGCACAGCTTTCACCCTCATCAATAACGTCTTTGAACAAATTCAAATACACAGGATGAACCTTTTCTTTTATGGGTATAATTACTACACTTTATGGGCAATATTTCTAAACAATCTACTACACTGTATGTGCAATATTCACACACATACTAGTTGTAGTTTTTTTTTATACCTATTTCACTTATTCATTCATTCATTCATTCATCTTCTAACCGCTTCATCCTCTTGAGGGTCACGGGGGGGCTGGAGCCTATCCCAGCTGACATTGGGTGAGAGGCGGGGTACACCCTGGACAGGTCACCAGACTATCACAGGGCTGACACATAGAGACAAACAACCATTCACACTCACATTCACACCTACGGACAATTTAGAGTTATCAATTAGCCTGCATGTCTTTGGACTGTGGGAGGAAGCCGGAGTGCCCGGAGAGAACCCACGCTGACACGGGGAGAACATGCAAACTCCACCCAGAAGGGCTCCCACACCCGGGATCGAGCCGGCAACCCTCTTGCTGTGAGGCGACAGCGCTAACCACCACACCACCGTGACGCCCATTTCACTTATTTGTTGTCTATTATTTATTATTGTGAAGATTGGATGGTTGAATGTACGGAGGATGTGATTTTTACTGTCAGCACCTCACAGGAATAGCATTCCTAATTTTGTTGTGTTCTTTTAATGATATGATGCATAGGCGTTTCTAGCCCATTTTTGGGAGATTTCTTTTATTTATTTATTTATTTTTTTTTTTTACTGTATGTCCCTTTTTTAATGTGCATGTGTTAATATTAAAGCCAAGGTGCTACTGACTAGCTAACTGACTGGATGCCCATTAACATTATAACTCCCATTGTGTGTATTCATTATTATTATTTTGTAGATTTCAAGCACTTTTCTTTTTTGAAGTGTATTTTTATTTATGTATTTGTATTATATAATACAGACAAGAAGGAAAAAGACAGAGACAAACATTGAAAAAGTCAATTTCTGTTAATATGTTAATGTTACATGTTGTGCATTGCATTTCAAATAAAAGTCAAAAAAAATAAGTCCAAGGTCCATTTTTGGTATTTTTGGTACTCACTATAGGGGGCTGGTTTACTCCAGAAACATGCTTACTGTTTATGTATATGTTGAGGAGCTGCTGTAACAAAATGAGTTGTCTTCCCCCAGAAATTAGGGTTACGATATGTTTCTTTTATGATTCCAATCCATTCCTCTTTTGCTGTGGCTCAGCATTTAAATAACCTTTATCAGATTTGATGGTTTAGTCACAGACTTTCCCAAAAAGTGTTGTGCTTTTCTTTCACAAATGTGGGAATGAAATTGAGTTAAAATGTACAAAAAAGTAAAATTTATCTTGCCTGGCCGGGCAGCTCTCTGGGTGCTCAGCACCCCTAAACCTCTGATCCTAGAATCGCCCCTGATACGGTGACATTAAAAGGCCTTCTGAATTTGATTCTGGCCCTGAAGCAGGAATTGTCTTCATTTTTCAGTGGGCTCATAACAATCATAGTAGCCAAGTAGCCAAGGTTTGTAGTTTAAATGACTCTTCTTTGTGGTGCCCAGTGGTACCCACAACTGGTGCCACAAATCGTCTGACAACTTACTTTTACAGATTGGCCTTTCCTGACAGTTGATAGACTTAATGTGTGTTTGGGAGTTCCATATGTATATGTTTGCATGCTTATAGCTATATATGCGTTTAAGTGTATTGGTGTAGGCGTGTGTATATGCTTATGTTTTATTAGTATCACTTCACTGCTCTACAAATAAAGTTATTATTATTGTTATTCATTCATTCATTCATCTTCTAACCGCTTCATCCTCTTGAGGGTCGCGGGGGGGTTGGAGCCTATCCCAGCTGACACTGGGCGAGAGGCAGGGTACACCCTGGACAGGTCGCCAGACTATCGCAGGGCTGACACATAGAGACAGACAACCATTCACACTCACATTCAAACCTACGGACAATTTAGAGTTATCAATTAACCTAGTCCCCAATCTGCACGTCTTTGGACTGTGGGAGGAAGCCGGAGTGCCCGGAGAGAACCCACGCTGACATGGGGAGAACATGCAAACTCCGCACAGAAGGGCTCCCACGCCCGGGATCGAACCGGCAACCCTCTTGCTGTGAGACGAGAGTGCTAACCACCACACCACCATGCCGCCCTATTATTGTTATTATTGTGCTCAAAAATCAGAATTATGTCTTTAGTTGCCATGATGCACTACAAAAACACACAAACAGCATTTTAGTTTCATTTCCACATGGTCAGTGTTAAATTTGCACACTGAAGTTCTTTAAGAGAAGTCACACAAGTTGCATTATTAAAAGGCTTTGAGACTTAATGACTTTAGAGCAGCATCAAATGTGTTGTTGTGATATTTTTAGAGTGTGATCGATTTCACGCTGATATTATTTGCACCCCTAGTTCCTGAAGTGTTTTTTTCCTTTGCAGTAAAAGAGAGCGATACCCTGCGCCCATCTGTGACTTCCTCTTAATGAAGTTATGTACACCAGAGGGGACAGAGGAACCCCTCTTTCTCTCTCTTTCCCTCTGAGAGAAAGATAGATGGTGATACCGTATAATTATCTATGTCTGCCCTCATGTGTGCGTACGATGTGTGCGTATGAGTGTATGTGCATGTGTGTGGGTCTTTTCCCCAAGTCATTATTCTTCATTATTCTTCTATTATTCATTACTCATTCATTATTCTGCCTGTACCGCTGGCTACAGTCATGCCTGTTGGTTCACACTGCAGACACCACTGTGGCCCTCCTGCCAATAGATGACAGCAGAACAATGGGACAACTTATGTGTGATGTGTGCATGTGCATACAGGAAATGTTATCACGCATGTTTATGCTTGTTTTTATTGACTTGGACAAATGTAAATAGCATAATTCATGTCCTACATTATTGACTACTTCTATGAATATTGACTGTATTGATCTCTAGGGGGCAGCGTCCGCCCAGTGGATGGAGAAGCTAATTTGGGAGCAGATAATGAGTAGTGGTGAGCAAAAGTGAAGGAGAAAAGATTTCCTTTGAACTAAGCAGCTCTTACGGTCAATATTTGACAGTTTTCCTTTGATAAATAATGTCAGACAAAAACACATGAATATGTATTTCCCCAATAAGTGTGTTAGACCACCATCTACAGTA